AAAAAAGTTGTACAAATTTATAATAATATTACTTTGAGCCAAACACAGTCAGCATTATTTCCAGTGGTCAAAATTTCCAGTAACCATTCATATATCTAAACCAATGCATACATGCAGAAATGCTAAAGAAAATAAGACTTAGCCACAAAATTTAGACTTAGCCACAAAATTTTAAATATATGATATGAGAATCTCTGAATAGTGTCTGAAAAATGAAACCAAGAAAAATCACACAAAACAGGAAGACAAAAGTGAAAAACAACTTGCCACTTGCATGCTAATATGATGCAGCAAGGTGTGAATAAAAAGCTTAATAGGAATTGATTTTTCACTGAAAACTTGCAATAACATGCCAACAGTAAGGTATCAGAACGAAGTGATATGTCACCACCCAGGCACATCCAGTAACAGAGACAGTGAAACATTTCTTTACAACCAACTCCTTGGAAAGGACTATTTGACTGCTACCTAAACTTAAGCGGGGGAAAATCTGAAAGAAATTCTTATTTAGCTACTAAAGTGTAAAATATTGCTATTTTTTCCACCATATATACCACTTGTTTTATTCAAACAAGACATAAGCCAAGGTTAAAAGAAATCTCCGAGCATTTAATGTGGGACAAAAAAATTTAAATCCATGTTTAATCCGTGGTTGCTTTGGTCCCAATTAGAGCAGAATTAGAATTCTCAGACTTGTGTTTTCACACAAAAAAGCTCAAACGAGCTATAAATTTGAGTGAATTTGTGCTAATGGATGTATCCTTTGAGATCCCTTATTCAAGCAGGCTGACCAAGAAGGTTAACTGCAATCAAATCATGTTAGTCATAAAATTATTGTTAAAATGACTTCAGTTACATGTTTGTGAGAAGAGAAATGATATCAATATCATTACAACATGATAATGGTGACATACGCATAGCATTAATATGATCAGAAACTCTAGTGACAAACAAAATTCGAATGAAATTCAAGGGCATTTACGTTTTTGAGATGATCTTCAGTTTTCCACAGTCATAGGCACGGATTTGAAATCTGTATCTCTTTTTGTCTTCATAATCCAATTTTTCTCCTTGCTTCAGCTTTATGCGGGCTTCTCCAGTTTCTCTGTTCAACAGCTCAATGTAAAATGGTGTCTTATTGTGTATAATGTCATAACCACAAATAAGACCTGAAAATTAATATACAAAATATGAAAAAATAAATTTCAAAATATTTATGGGCAAAGCCATACTATCACAGTTTATAACATTTCTACACCAAAATGTTTAAAATGCAACCATTCAAGTATTATTTTTTCAATATCTTGGCTAAAAAATATTTCATCTGATCAATTTTTTCATTATTAATATAGCAATTTTCATTAAGTCGAAGCGATGGGGAAAGGTGTTACCTTCTTTTGAATCATCTGCATCTGTGGCAAATAGTTTTGGCTCTAGGTCCACCACAGTGCCAGACTCTGGTATCCAGCCATGGTACCTGGTCACTTGCTGACCTCTCTCGTCCACCAATACTGGGGCATGTGCGTCATCAGCTGAAATGACAAGTACACACAGATATATATATATCTATAAATAAGACACAGTGACATTGCTATATAGAAAATAACACACACACTATATAGTTATGCTATGGGTATAACTATTTATGCTGGAAATTCATTTTTTTCTTTTTCTTCTACCTCACAATCATTATAATTAATAATAATAATTATTATTATTATAGTTGCTGTTAATATTATTATTATTATTAATATTATTGGGGAGCAGGGATATGAAATTTCATTATTTTTGTGATAAAAGACAATTTCTTTCACTGTTCACTTCAAAACAATTTCACTCTTTACTTTTTCTAGCCTTGCTGTAAATCTTAGTCTTAACATGCAAGTATGTGAACCATCAATACAAAATAAATGATAAATGTCATTATATACAAACAGGAGTATTTGACAAATGTCATGTATTTCATATCATGTCACCCAGCGTGACAAAATCTCTACTATCTTTGAAAACAATATCATTTTTCCCACTGTGAACAAATGACAACTATGTTCAATCACAACACGTGACATTACAATTTTATTTTTTTGACCTTTAAAATGTTAAGTTTTCCTAACATGGCACAATTGCACAAAATTGTTATTACACACTTCTCTTTTGTTCTCAAGCTATTGTTAAGATTACCTTTGGCCTTTGTAAAAAGCAGGATTTTCTCATGCTGTAAAAGCTGATATGATTCTTTCAAATTCATAAAATTTCACAACTTCTTTGACATGGTCATTTTAATTTCAAACCAAAGACTATTTTCTCTTTCTTAAAACATAGGTGACTATCAACTAGCAGGCGTGTGAAGTTATGAAAATGGCCAAGTTAATCACATCTGTTTGTAATGCCCTGAAAAAAAATTTGAAGCCGGTTTGCCTTCAACTTGTGCAGAGTAATGTGAAATATATTTAAAATACTGAGAATTCAGCTGCTCACGCAGGACAAGAACTAATGTGGCATAAGAGTAAAACCTCAACACAACTGTTGTTTTCAATCCATCTTTTCCTCCATTACAATTCAGCATGGCCCACGAACATGGAGAAGTAAAATCAATTCACCCAAAATGCGTCAATAATACATGTTGACTTCCTATTAATTTTTTTCCTGCAGCGGTACAAGCATAGCTGAAAACCATAGTGGTCTCATGCCGACTCCCTCCCCTCCTCTCTAAAGCATTAAACAATGACTAACCCAAGCAACAGTGAACAACACAGATTTTAAACCATTTACCACATCAACTTCCACAAATTGATTTTCTAACCTCCTTATTGGCTCCAATGAATAACCCTCTCAGTTTTGGCCCCTTATGTATGGTGAGAACGAAGAAGTGAAATTCTCAGACATATTCAGTAGCCTTGCACCCCGGTACTGAAGAATATTCCAGCTTTTCTTTAGTGATTTATGAAGGTGTAAGTTTGCTTTCAACATGTGTATCATCTACCTATTAGATTCAGGGTTGAGATTCTGCAGATAACTAAGAGGTTGCTTGGCGCCATTGAATACCTTGTTTAAAAAAACAGCACAATTCTATCAGACTGTGACCCATATTATATTCTACTGATTTACAAACTTTTTCCTTCAAAACAGATTTTTAAACATAATAAAAACAGTTAATTGGACTTACATATTAAATCAACATGTCTACCTTATTTATATAAAGGATAATTTTATCAGGGCATTTCCACATTTCTAGATGCCTAAAAATTTAACTCTGAGAACCAATGACTTCTCAACAACTAGTGGACACCCTTTCGCACTTGATCTCATTCCCAATCATCTGAAGCTAAGCAGCAGCAGTGTACCGTTTTTCTTTGTATCTGCAAGCATGCAATGTTTGTGCAACAGATCACAAATTATTTTCTTACAAGCCATCACATGCTGCCCACGGGCAAGACAACACACTGTCACCCTTAGGCAGTCCTTGTTCTTCGAAACCACAAGGCACGAAGTTCTCTACAAATACAAAGTGATTCCAATCTCTCCAGGGAATATGCAATCCCTCTAATCGTAAAGTAGGTTTGTGTAAATCCAATTGCAGTAGAATGCACACATTCAAATGCACTATCATTCTTACAAACGCAACTAATTCTGCAACTGGCAAAAAACTGTGCAACAATAGTTCAGATCACTAAATTATGGTCCAATGACAATTTTTCCCTGCCAATATAAATCAAAATCAAATATCAAGAAAATGTTTTAAATTCTTTTTTTTTTTTTTTTGACCAGATGAAGTTACCTTCAGAGTTTGGTAAATATCAGACTAAAGACTTCATCCCAACAGAAAATAAAAAGATGAAAACATTGTTCCAGAACACTGGCGGAATTCTTCCGTCTCCTCAACCCAGTGGAANCTTGACAACCAACTCCTTGGAAAGGACTATTTGACTGCTACCTAAACTTAAGCAGGGGAAAATCTGAAAGAAATTCTTATTTAGCTACTAAAGTGTAAAATATTGCTATTTTTTCCACCATATATACCACTTATTTTATTCAAACAAGACATAAGCCAAGGTTAAAAGAAATCTCCGAGCATTTAATGTGGGACAAAAAAATTTAAATCCATGTTTAATTCGTGGTTGCTTTGGTCCCAATTAGAGCAGAATTCTCAGACTTGTGTTTTCACACAAAAAAGCTCAAACGAGCTATAAATTTGAGTGAATTTGTGCTAATGGATGTATCCTTTGAGATCCCTTATTCAAGCAGGCTGACCAAGAAGGTTAACTGCAATCAAATCATGTTAGTCATAAAATTATTGTCAAAATGACTTCAGAGAAGAGAAATGATATCAATATCATTATAACATGATAATGGTGACATACGCATAGCATTAATATGATCAGAAACTCTAGTGACAAACAAAATTCGAATGAAATCAAGGGCATTTACGTTTTTGAGATGATCTTCAGTTTTCCACAGTCATAGGCACGGATTTGAAATCTGTATCTCTTTTTGTCTTCATAATCCAATTTTTCTCCTTGCTTCAGCTTTATGCGGGCTTCTCCAGTTTCTCTGTTCAACAGCTCAATGTAAAACGGTGTCTTATTGTGTATAATGTCATAACCACAAATAAGACCTGAAAATTAATATACAAAATATGAAAAAATAAATTTCAAAATATTTATGGGCAAAGCCATACTATCACAGTTTATAACATTTCTACACCAAAATGTTTGAAATGCAACCATTCAAGTATTATTTTTTCAATATCTTGGCTAAAAAATATTTCATCTGATCAATTATTTCATTATTAATATAGCAATTTTCATTAAGTCGAAGCGATGGGGAAAGGTGTTACCTTCTTTTGAATCATCTGCATCTGTGGCAAATAGTTTTGGCTCTAGGTCCACCACAGTGCCAGACTCTGGTATCCAGCCATGGTACCTGGTCACTTGCTGACCTCTCTCGTCCACCAATACTGGGGCATGTGCGTCATCAGCTGAAATGACAAGTACACACAGATATATATATGTCTATAAATAAGACACAGTGACATTGCTACATAGAAAATAACACACACACTATATAGTTATGCTATGGGTATAACTATTTATGCTGGAAATTCATTTTTTTTAATTTTCTTCTACCTCACAATCATTATAATTAATAATAATAATAATTATTATTATTATAGTTGCTGTTAATATTATTATTATTATTGGGGAGGAGGGATATGAAATTTCATTATTTTTGTGATAAAAGACAATTTCTTTCACTCTTCACTTCAAAACAATTTCACTCTTTACTTTTTCTAGCTTTGCTGTAAATCTTAGTCTTAACATGCAAGTATGTGAACCATCAACACAAAATAAATGATAAATGTCATTATATACAAACAGGAGTATTTGACAAATGTCATGTATTTCATATCATGTCACCCAGCGTGACAAAGTCTCTACTATCTTTGAAAACAATATCATTTTTCCCACTGTGAACAAATGACAACTATGTTCAATCACAACACGTGACATTACACAATTTTTTTTTCTTTTTTGACCTTTAAAATGTTAAGTTTTCCCAACATGGCACAATTGCACAAAATTGTTATTACACACTTCTTTTTTGTTCTCAAGCTATTCTTGAGATTACCTTTGGCCTTTGTAAAAAGCAGGATTTTCTCATGCTGTAAAAGCTGATATGATTCTTTTAAATTCATAAAATTTCACAACTTCTTTGACATGGTCATTTTAATTTCAAACCAAAGACTATTTTCTCTTTGGAAAAACATAGGTAACTATTAACTAGCAGGCGTGTGAAGTTATGAAAATGGCCAAGTTAATCACATCTGTTTGTAATGCCCTGAAAAAAATCTGAAGCCGGTTTGCCTTCAACTTGCGCAGAGTAATGTGAAATATATTTAAAATACTGAGAATTCAGCTGCTCACGCAGGACAAGAACTAATGTGGCATAAGAGTAAAACCTCAACACAACTGTTGTTTTCAATCCATCTTTTTCTCTATTACAATTCAGCATGGCCCACGAACATGGAGAAGTAAAATCAATTCACCCAAAATGCGTCAATAATACATGTTGACTTCCTATTAATTTTTTTCCTGCAGCGGTACAAGCATAGCTGAAAACCATAGTGGTCTCATGCCGACTCCCTCCCCTCCTCTCTAAAGCATTAAACAATGACTAACCCAAGCAACAGTGAACAACACAGATTTTAAACCATTTACCACATCAACTTCCACAAATTGATTTTCTAACCTCCTTATTGGCTCCAATGAATAACCCTCTCAGTTTTGGCCCCTTATGTATGGTGAGAACGAAGAAGTGAAATTCTCAGACATATTCAGTAGCCTTGCACCCTGGTACTGAAGAATATTCCAGCTTTTCTTTAGTGGTTTATGAAGGTGTAAGTTTGCTTTCAACATGTGTATCATCTACCTATTAGATTCAGGGTTGAGATTCTGCAGATAACTAAGAGGTTGCTTGGCGCCATTGAATAACTTGTTTAAAAAAAACAGCGCAATTCTATCAGACTGTGACCCATATTATATTCTACTGATTTACAAACTTTTTCCTTCAAAACGGATTTTTAAACATAATAAAAACAGTTAATTGGACTTACATATTAAATCAACATGTCTACCTTATTAACATAAAAGATAATTTTATCAGGGCATTTCCACATTTCTAGATGCCTAAAAATTTAACTCTGAGAACCAATGACTTCTCAACAACTAGTGGACACCCTTTCGCGCTTGATCTCATTCCCAATCATCTGAAGATAAGAAGCAGCATTGTACCATTTTTCTTTGTATCTGCAAGCATGCAATGTTTGTGCAACAGATCACAAATTATTTTCTTACAAGCCATCACATGCTGCCCACGGGCAAGACAACACACTGTCACCCTTAGGCAGTCGTCGTTCTTCGAAACCACAAGGCACAAAGTTCTCTACAAATACAAAGTGATTCCAATCTCTCCAGGGAATATGCAATCCCTCCAATCGTAAAGTAGGTTTGTGTAAATCCAATTGCAGTAGAATGCACACATTCAAATGCACTATCATTCTTACAAACGCAACTAATTCTGCAACTGGCAAAAAACTGTGCAACAATAGTTCAGATCACTAAATTATGGTCCAGTGACAATTTTTCCCTGCCAATATAAATCAAAATCAAATATCAAGAAAATGTTTTAAATTCTTTTTTTTTTTTTACCAGATGAAGTTACCTTCAGAGTTTGGTAAATATAAGACTAAAGACTTCATCCCAACAGAAATAAAAAGATAAAACATTGTTCCAGAACACTGACGGAATTCTTCCGTCTCCTCAACCCAGTGGAANTCCATAGACACCATCATTCTATGTAGATCGATCCAAATCTACGGGGACCCTTGTTGAATGCAATCAGCTTCACACAGAAAAGCTGGCAATCATACTGGTAGGTTGGGAACAAGAGGAGGAATGGGAAAGGTTTATATAAAAGCAACATTTTACAATGGTTGATGACATGTGCAAGATTCAAGAAAAATCTTTTTTTTTTTAAATATCAGTCAATTTTAATGGTCTTCCTCTGTCTGTAGGCTAAGTGATTCATTTGTTGGCAGTACAGCAAGGTATTATAATCTTCACATGTATGTCATATTTATCAGTAGTGTTCAAGCACACCTGCTTTTGGTTTTTATCACCTCTGAACTCTTACTGTGACGGTAACATGCCAAAGCACACACCTTCAGAACATTTAGCCATAACCTCATTTTCCAACTCTGCTGGAGAACTATAAAGGTTAAGTATTATCTCATCCAAAAATTCAGGTCAATTGGCTAAAAATGTAAATTAGGATGCACCTTGTTGTCTACCTTACAACACACCTGTCTTTGGTTATTGTCATCATACCTCTGAAAAATAATCTCTCTCCTGTTCCAGCAAATCAGTTATTTTCTCTTTTTTAAACCTTCCCAATATATTATAGTAAGAAGGCCAAAGGAAACAACAATGACCCCCTCTCTCCTCCCCTCTACACATCAATAACATTTCATTTTAGTCCCAATCGAATGGACTCATACATATGACAATCTCTAAAGTAATCCATCCTTCAACCAAGACGGACCATGCTTTTCCTTGCATCCGCTAACATAAAGAAGCTGCAGAATCTTAGGCGAGACAAGTCCGTGTTGCTATAGCAACCAAAATGGCACTTCCTCCACTTAACTTTGGGGCTGATTTAGTTACTTTGATGTTGTTTTTGCTTTCAAGCTGCTTGAAATGAAGTTTTCCTCACTTGACAAAAGATGTTAGGTTTCTTCATATAGAGTCATTAGTGGCATGTCCACAACAGTCCGGCCAGAGACGGAGTCCTTTATCATCCTAACCATTACTCCCTGGCTCATTCCTTTCAGTTGACCTCAGGGCAGAATTTCCTAGATTAAAGCAATCTTATACAAATTCTCCTACCCTATTCTACATGTGGTTTGTCTGAATGCAACTACTGATACTATTGGGCATGTTAATCGATCCATATGTGCCTAGTGTGATCATACCTGTCAGTCTAAAAATGGTTAAAATGCAGGTTTCTTGACAGCAGGTTCTGATTATAAACAAGCTGGGCTAGCTTGCCTTGTTAGCAAAGAGTACACAGTTATCAATTAGGTACCAATTTGTTCTCAGTTCTGGACAATTTATTGTAGGGTCTTTTATTGGCAACCTGTGTATATTTGAGCATGTCAGAAACTTGTGCTAGGCACTTGGCCAAACAAAACAAAATGCCATGCCCTATTACAGGACTAAGACAGACTAGAACTAACTTATGCTTTACTAATATCATTCAACTTCTGTAACTCAACAATTTACTTGGTGGCTTCTTGGTATATTTTTATCATTTTTTCTTTCTTTCTAATTCCAGTTTGAAATATGATCAAATCAGTGGTCTCTGAACTCTTTTTCAAAGCACATAAAAAGATGGCATGACAGAGAATGTCTTGTTTTTATACCACTTCTCAACTTCTCAAACTGTGACACAATCAAAATGTAACATTTGACATTTTCTGATTCTGGGGGAAAAAAACTCAGGAAAATGGAAACTCTATTTCATCTCATGCAAAACCCAATATTACAAGGTCCCTTTTTATTGATTTGGACAGCAGGGGCCCATTTCCAATCTATCAGCAACATTTCACTTTTAACTTAATACCAAATGCTTCAACAGAAGATTTTATTGTGACACCTTTCCATCTCTGAAGTTTTAGATGGCATACTAGTAACCCTCCTCCCTGATACAAAAGTTTTAGACAAAACAAAAGTGAGTTGTTTCGTTTGGCTTCATAAAGTTAAGAGATCATAATCACATTGTTGAGACAATATGCGTTAAATTATGCCATCAAAAATTAACTCAAAATGCACCTCGTAACGACACAAAGAACATCCTCTCTTTTAAAAGCACACCCCAGTACTTCTTCTTTTAACCAAAATGACAATGTGCAAAGACTCGAAGTGAATTTTTGCGTGCTGGAGAGACCACCCATCATTGTTTAACTGCCTAGGTATATTCTGCAGTCTGCATGAAAGCCATTAAGTATGAAATCATCTGAATCAAACATGCAATCTCCTGTAGTCAGGAAAGACATCTATTCCTGTTACTTTGTCATATTTCATGCTTTTGTCTTTTTTTTTTTCTAAGTTCTAAGGGGAATAAGTGTAGGGAAAACCTTAATACCTTGGAAGTCAGGAGTATTTTTCCACCACCATACATTTTTTTAAATAAGACTTGTGATACTACAATTGGTTACCAACACATACTACTATGGGGATATTATAGATATGGATGCTGATAAATAAATACCATAATGCAGATATCAAGAGAGATTTTTTTTCATTGTTTTCATTACAAACAAATTTCTTTTTATTCCATCATTTAAAGGCCATACTTTCTTCTGATATTTGTAAATTTCATTTTTTAACCCTCCTTTCATAAAAACTTTGGCCCGTACTG